GGCTTTAAAGGGAGAAGGAGTTGTATACAACATCTTAAATAGCACCAGCAGCTGACTTTTACAGATGAGGATCTAGAGATGTGTGTGGGACGTGGAGGTTAAATGATTTGTCCAAAGTCACACAACTCATTAACGGCAGGACTAACTATAATATTCAGCCAGACTCCTGACTCAACGCTTCCTGCATCTCATCCTACACTCTGCTGCTGCATTACGTTACTCTTTAAAATTGTCTGCCATCTCAATTTTGATCTTTCTCTTCTACAGCAAAGACTGTAGATAAAGGCACTTCTCTGACTGGGGTAAAGGAAGCAGAGCTTAATTTGAACGAGGTGAGGGGTTCAGATGTAAGTTCCTTGAAGACCTTTTTGAAGTATCTTCTTCCTTCATATTCTCAGTGCCTCCAGGCAGATGCCCTAAACTTCATCCAGAACCCTGTTTGTAGTAGAGAGATGAGCGAGCCGCAGAGTAACGACCGCTGCTGCACATTTCTTTCATTTCACCCCTTGCATAATTGGAGAGCTCTCCAGATTGGAGTTCAAGATAGACCTGGTCCACAGGAAATCTTTGGAAAACAACCGTTTCTAGAAGGTTTATAGTTTATTACAGGGGTGGAGATGCTGCTTTCTACACAGCTTCAAAAAGTTCATGAAAAAACGAAATAAGAGATGAGCTTTGGTGCAAAAAAAATTTTGAAAGCCACACAGTTTTTTTGTAAAATACACTTTTTAAAAAGGATTTATTTATTGGAAAGTCAGGGTTACAGAGAGAGAGAGAGAGAGAGAGAGAGAGAGAGGTGAGACAGGGATGGGGGAGGAGATATTCCATCTACTGGTTCATTCCCCAAATGGTTGCAATGACCAGGGCTGGGCCAGACAGCAGCCAGGGGCCAGAAGCTTCTTCTGGGTCTCCCAAGTGGGTGCAGGGACCCAAGCACTTGGGCTATCCTCTGCTGCTTTCCCAGGCTCATTAACAAGAAGCTGTACTGGAAGCAGAGCAGCCAAGACTCGAACCAGCGGCGATAAGGGATGCCAGAACTGCAGACGGCGACTTAACTTGCTGCACCACAGAGCCATTCTCCTTCATGAACTTTTTGAAGACACTCTTTTAGGCACGGATTTTGAAATTTTTTTTGCATCAAATTAAACCTATATCCGAATTCTGTTTTCCTATGAACTTTCTATCGTACCCTCATACTTAAATATTTACGTCTCCACTCCGGTTCTAAGCTACCCAAAGCTGGTCAAGTCTTTTACTAATTTATTTTTAAAGATTTATTTATTTGAAAGGCAGAGTTACAGAGAAAGAGGGACACGCACACACACACACACACACACAGAGGGAGGGAGGGAGGGCGAAGGAGAGGAGAAACAGAGAGATCTTCCATCCTCTGGTTCACTCTCCAAATGGCAATAACAGCTAGGGCTGGGCTAGCCTGAAGGTTGGAACTCCACTTGGGACTCTCACATGCGTGGCAGGAACCCAAGTACTTGGGCCATCATACACTGCCTTCCCAGGCACATCAGCAGGGAGCTGGATCAAAAGCAGGACAGCCAGGACTTGAGGCAGCACTCCGATGTGCAATGACATTGCAATGACAATGTCCCAAGTGGAGGCTTAACCTGTGGCACCAGGCCAAATTTGTTAATCCCTACCAGCCAGAAGACTGGCTAGCACACAGAAAGAATCCAACATATGGTTGCTGAATGAATGAATAAAATAATTTTACCTGTTACTCTCAGTTTACTTAACAGAAAATTACCCCTAGTAAATTGACTTCCAAATAGTATTTTCTTCCCTACCTTTGACCTCTAGTCTCCATCCTTTCTGCCCAGATTTTCACTAAGTTAATATTTTACTAATCACTACAGACTTTTCATGGTTTATACCATCTTAAAGTTGAGTAGTTAAAAGTTAAAGGAACTGTTTATAATGTCCTTTATTTTGTGAACTTACTATGTAAGAAAACATGTAAGTTACATTACAAAATCTAATAAATGTCACAAAACTTTGTTGGTAGATTTCAATAAGCAATATATATGAATAAACATTTGTTTCTTGATAGAAAAAGGAATTGTTTTCTCTCCAAGGCTCTTGCTCTACGTTCTGGAATTCCCACGTTTTTTCATTCCCTTTAAAAGTGGAAACAGATTGATTGCTGTTATCTAAGCTCTCACCGTGTCCTCTTTCATTTCATATATTTTGGGAAACTTAACTGATTTTCTCTTGCCATCGTATGTATTTTTCTGCTTTATTTGAACTGTAAAGTCTTTCGAATAAGGATTGTCTTCTACACACTGGATGAGTGATGTTTATTTTTAGTGCTCAGTACTGAATTTTTTTTTTTAATTTTCATTTATATGAAAGGTAGAGACACAGAGAGAGAGAGAGCTCCTCCATCCACTGGTTCAGTCCTCAAATGCCTCCAACAACCAGGACTGGGTGGGCCAGGCAGAACACGGGAGCCAAGATCTCCCAGGTAGGTGGCAGAAATCCAATCACTTGAGCCATAACCAGTTGCCTCTTAGAGTGCACATTAGCAGGAAGCTGGAATCAAAAGCAGAGCCAGGACTTGAACCTTGTTGCTCTGATACTAGATGTAGGCATCCCAAGCCCCGTCTTAACTGCCGTACCCAACCCCTGCTCCCTCAATACTTTTCTAATCTCTTCTCTTTCTTGGAGCAGTTGTGATAGTCATAGAACAATATTTCCTCTCCAAAAGGCACATCAGGATATAAGAGATTGGGAGGCTCATTAGATACAAATATGAAAAAAATACAATAAAACGCACAGATTGCATGTGAATTTAGGCCTGAGTCAGTTATTGAAGGGGTAAGAGATGATAAAAAGGGGTTTTGTTATTGGGAAATAACTCTGTTGGGAGGATGAGGCACTGGGAAGAAAATTAAATTCAATAACTACTCCAATGCTGAGTCACGTTGTAGAGATTCTTTGATAGGAAAGGCATGACTCCTTCCCTACCCTACTACACTAAAAAAGATGCACACATACACACAGCTATAAGATGAAGCAGACCTGGATAAAGACATAGTGACACAGAGAGGCTATTCTAGGAAAATTTTAAGAAAAATACAATTTTATTCACTAAGGGTAAAAATTGTTCAAGGCTTCTCTTACCAGGTCCCAGAAGTCAGGATGCTTCTATCTCCCCAAATCAGAAGCACGCCTCATTTTGTAAATATGTCTACAAATATTCCGTTTACTGCTGTTTCTAAATTTGAGGGCAGATTATGGAACTGCACTTAAGATTCTAGATTGCCATTTAAACACTCTGTGATTTCTTAAGATACATATTTTTATGAAGTGAATACAGCTTTTTGAAATGTATCTTGCACTAACAAATCTTGTAGTATCTAAAGATTCAGAAACTACAAGGAATCCCAATATAGCACAGGGTCTTCTTACAAACTTCTCAGTAGCACATGATCAACTAACAGGCACTAGATTTCTAAACTTATTATGAAATTAAAAAGATCCACTTCAGATTTCTAAATTTCCAGTGACAGCACACTATCAAGTCAATAGCTCTTGATTTCCTTGCTGTGTTACATTCAGTGACCACTGATGTTAATGTGGAACATTTCCTGCTAGTTATTCATTGATTAAAAAAAGGTCATTTTTTCCAGAGACTGGGCAGGAGATAAGATGTCAAGAAGTAATAAGTAGTGAAATGAAAGAGGAGAATATAAAGGAACCGAAAAGGCAAAACATTAAAGTGATGTTATTTTTTTCCCCTGTATATGCAGATGGACAGGAAAATTATAGCAGCAACTTCAGACTTGTCTCGACAGAATGGCCTTGGGGGAACCAGCCTGGGGGGGTGGGGGGGCAGCGGAGGAAGGGAGAAGAGGCCAGTGAAATTGCATTCTCATCCAGGTCCTACCAGACTTGCTGGACAGGCCTTGGGGCAAGGTCTGCGTACCCTTCTGTGTCTTAGGTTCCCCTGGATGTTGAAAAAGGATGATTGGCCTCTTGGAGTTACTGGAAGGCAGATGAGATAACGCTTTGGAATCACCCAAAACCGGTCAGGAGAAGATGCTATGAGAATAGCAAGCAGGACTATTATTACTGAACTGTGAATCTTGTTGGAATGAGTCATCTTGCTGCTCAGAGGCACGGGCCATTCCTAGGCTGGTGGAGCACCACAGAGGAGGCAGGTGCTTATGCAGTGGTCAGCTCTGCCTTGCTCAAAGCGTACAGTACCGTGGTTACACAAAGACTTGAAATCTCATAGCCAGTTTGAATCCGGGCTTTACCACTGACTCCCTCGACCGTGAGCAAATCATACTTGATGGTTTTTTTCCCTCCCCATCTGTAAAATGGGGATTAGAAGAGTTTTCTAACAGGGTTCCTGCGGGTGGGGATTAAAACACGTACAGTGTCGCCAGGGCTCTGTAAAAAGCGATTACTGAAATTTATGGCAGACAGGGAAAAGCAGAAGTCCACACTGATAACGTGACTTTCAAAAAAAAAAAAAAAAAGAGAGAGAGAGAGAGAGAGAAAGTCGGGTTTTTATTCTATCAAGCACTGTATGACTTCAGGGGCCTACAGAGGCGAACTTGTTTCGTCAAGTCTGATGCACTGAGTGTCAGGGTCTATGCTAAGTAGTCAAACCTTTGATACCTGGCACGCAACCCACAAACAGGAAAAGCCTTCCGCGTGCTTCCGAGCAAACAGCTTTCCCTTTCCAAACGATGCCCAACAGCTCTTCTAAAACAAAGCTCAGAGGCTGCGTTTTGTTGTTCTAAAAGACCGAGCGAGCAACTCGGGGCGGGGGGGCTGCGGGGATCTTTCCGCTCCCCGCCAGTCGCGCCCCGCGGGCTGCGAAGCCGCGGGCAAAGCCCCGGGGGCACGACGCGTCTTTATCGATCCCGGAACCCCGGGCCGGAGCGCGGGGGCGGCGGCGCGGGAGGGGCGCGGCGCCGCTCGCCCAGCCCCCCGAGCGCGCGGCGGGGCGGCGGGCCGGGGCGGTCGCGGAGGATGCGGAGGGGCGGCGACGCGGGCCGGACCCAGCCCGAGCGGCGGGGCGGGCGGCGCCCGAGGGGGTAGGGCGCGCGCGGGGGCGCGCCGGGCCGGGGAGGCGCGCTCCGGCCGCGCTCGCTCCGCGCTCCCTCCGCTCGTTTGCTCGCTCCCTCCTCCCTCGCCAGCCGCGGCGGCAGCAGGAGAAGGCGGCGGCGGCGGCGGCTGGGGATCAGACATGGCGGCGGATCTGAACCTGGAGTGGATCTGCTCCCTGCCCCGGTCCTGGACTTACGGGATCACCAGGGGCGGCCGAGTCTTCTTCATCAAGTAAAGAGCCGGGGTCGGCGCGGGGGGCCCTGAGGGGACGGCAGGGAGGGCGGGCGGGCGGGCGGCTGGCGTGAGCGGGGCGCGGGAGCCGGGGTCTGTGCCCCCCGCAGCCCCCTCGGCTCGCTCGCGTACCCCCCGACTCACGCTCGGTCTCCGGCGCTTCTCTCCCCCCACCCTGCAGCGAGGAGGCCAAAAGCACCACCTGGCTGCACCCGGTCACCGGCGAGGCCGTGGTCACCGGACACCGGCGGCAGAGCACAGGTAACGCCGACCCGGCCGGGCCCGAGCGGAGTTGGGCTCCGCCGGGAGGAGGCGGCAGAGCCCGGGCCGCCCGGCTCCCGGCAACCTGCCCCGAGCCGCGGCGGCGAGGTGGGGCGGAGGCCGGGCGGGGGCGGCCGCAGGTAGCGCGGGGCTGCCGGGGGCACTTCCTCCGGAGTGGCCGGGCGCCCTCTTTCTCCCCCGGACACCCTGAGGGGTCTCGGGTGGCCGTCTCCCCCCGTGCCCGGAATCACGAGTGTTCCTCGTGAGCCGCGCTCCTGCCCCGCGGCCGCCTGTGGGAAGTCCTCACCCGCTGGCCCCTGCACCCGGGACCCCCGCCCCCGGCCGCCGGGGCAGCGAGCCCACCGCCTCCCACCGCGCAGCTGCCTTCTCCTCCTTTCTCCTGGGTGGGTGGGTGGGTGGTGGAGGAGAGGACTTGGGGGGCCGCGGTCCTGCTGGTGACAGGGGGCGGCTCGAGGGACGCGGGAGGGAGGAGGCGTTCGCAGCCGCGCTTGCTGGGGATCGGATTCAAAGTCCCCGGCGGCTGCCGCGGCCGCCAGGAGGCGGTGGGCGTGCGAGGGGGCGGCCCGCGGGGTGGGCGTCCGGGCGGGCCCTCGTTGGCGGGGCTCGGCGCGGGGCAGGAACGCGCGCCCCTGGGGCTGCTTGGGTGGCAGGCGGGCGTGAGGGCTCCCTCCGAGGAGTTGGGCGCTCTGCAGTTCCCCGGCCGGTCTGGCTTTCTTTTGTCAGTCTTTGTTTACATTCGCGGAACTTGTTTGTCTCTGAAATGGAACATGTGTTCGCTGCCTGGCCGGCCCCTGCGAAGAGGCGCCCGGGCGGTCGGGGTCGAAGGCGAGCCGGGGCCCAGCGGTCTTGCAGAGCGAGCTGCCCTCCCGGCTACTTTTCTCTCTCTGCCTGCCTTTGCTGTTCCGCGCTGGAGTTCAGCGAAGTGACTGATGTCTCACCCGATTTGCAGAAAGGCTGGTGTAGCCAGCATGAGGAGGTTGCGATTTTAGGGCATTTCTGACTAATAGCACCTTCCTGCCTCTCTTAATTAACCCTCCTTGCCTTTGCTGTACCTTTTGGGTGTATTTTGGACAGTCAGAAACTTAGGTCACACAAGACAGTATGACGTGTAGATCGCTCACCCTAATAACCCTGTGGAATCATTTCCTGCTTATATAGGTTACGTGCTGTATGTCAATGTGACCTAATTAACCCCCAAAGATTTGATAGCATTCACATCACTAGAAAAATGTTATTCTTCTATGTGATTTTTACATTAATTTTCCCCCGGTTTGGTTTACTTTGCTTGGACCCTGTGGTTTTGTACACACAGCAATGGCTTTTTTATTTCTGAGAGGTATTATGACTAAATCCTACCTACTTGTCATTGCAAAGTAATATGTAGCACGGAAGGAGCTGCGTTCGCCCGCATCATTCCTGAGTTTATTACTTGAGGCTTCATGTCTCTTAAGGTGTTCAGAAACACACACGTGGAAGTATTGGGGTCAGATTCCTTTGCACTAATTAAGTCCATAGGAAGTTTTTCTCATTGGTGACACTTCTTGGATGAATTCATTTATGTAGGTGAAAAATAGGGTCTTAAATAAAGGCAGTTATCTAAGGGGTGCTGCCTGTTAGCCCGGTCTGGATTTTTGCCAGCCAGTGATGGGTATTTTACCTGATGTTAGTAGGCTGGCCTTTATGTTTTTGGGTGCCATGGTTCCTCTCCATCTCGATCGTGCCAAGTGTTTGTCACATCACATAATCTCTGATGTTGCTGATGCTTTCCTGGTGGCTTGAAATCTGAATTGCCATTTTTCCAACCATGATGTTATGTCTACCATTAATTTTATTGCCAATCTAATACTTTTTAAATTCACATACCTTCTTAAATGCAAATACATTATGAAAATAAAATATTTGTCTATCCCGTTTAAGAAATATTAATGGTAATATGTATGTGTTTTTTAGATTTGCCTACTGGCTGGGAAGAAGCATATACTTTTGAAGGTGCCAGATACTATATAAAGTGAGTTTTTTGATTTTGCCTTTTTCCTTGGTAATTTGAATGCTGTGATTCATCTTCAGATGAAGAATTGTATATCCAGATGTGATCATGATTTTGTAACATTTATCCAATAATGGTGACTGAATCTATATTTTATATAGTATTGGAATTTGGGGAGAAAAAAATGGCATTCTTGGTTTTATTATTTTCTTGGATTTTCACTGATTTATTGACTTGGGAAAGAGATTGTTCATGGCTACAATGAGATGTTTTGGTGCTTCTCTGTGTATTCTTGGGTAATAGAACACTCTAGTCTTTTATGTAACTGTGGTTCATAAAAGTTTTAGTCCTTGATTATCTGTGCTAAGAAATATCAAACAAAAAACTATCTTTGCATTGCGTCGCCATCTGATTTTTTCCTTTTCATTGAATTCTGTTCTTGTGTATTTTGACCAGAGCTGTTAATCAGTAACAAAAGTGACGTAAAGCTAGGTACAGCCTGATGAACGATGACAGAGCAGGAGTAAAAACCAATGGAATTAAATGCTGACTGTTTCACAAGCATATTTTGGAACACTTTTGATTTTGATTCAGTTTGTTTGAATATGTGTAAAAGGCTTTCAGTAGAGCTTGAGAGGTGACCAATCAATTCCAGCCTTAAAACCAATTCTATATAATGTGGAACTAATTTCCATTCAAATTTAAGTTGGTAGTGCTTGGAGATGGATATAGTCCTGGGCATCAAAATTATGTGGGAAAAATTTTAATCCCCTAGAGGAATGATAAAGTTGGTTTTAATCTTTGTTTTATATTAAAATCTGTTTACTTAAGAGCTTTGTTTTTGTTGTTTAAAATTATTTGTTGAATATTAAGGAAGTGGGTCTTGAAAGAAAATGCTTAGTATAGGATTTGACTCAGACTTTTTTTTTTTAAATAATAGCACATAGCTGACTAAATGTACCTTTATTTCATCTGGCCTAATAAGTTATTTTTACTAAATGAGATTTTTAGGAAGATGGCATTCTTTCACTAAATTGCAATGACTATATGGTTCTTTAAGTTTTTAGAAGAATATTTATATAAAATGCCAAGAGATGTTAGGGGTGCTTGCTTTTTCGATATAGAAATACACAGTGCAGAAGATATAGGGGCAGAGGTTTTTTATGCTATGGTTCTTCTCTGGATTTTTTTTATTAAATCTTTTGTTGGGTGATTGCTCTGTTTGTTACTGGATGTCCTAACAAGAGGAGTAAGGTTCAGTCACCGGGTTATTTTCATTAAAGTGACCAAATGAGTTTGTATTGCCATGAAAAAGGATGCTTTCTATTTCTGGACATAGTATTCATATTCTGAATAAAGAGTTTTTTTATGAGTTCATTTATTTGGTGTAATTTCAGCTACTGTCCATGAAGACTAACTTATAAGAATAGGGGTGGGTAGCTTAAGTTCTCAGTAATATGTTAATTTCTGTGAATGTGTACATTTTCAGATGACTGTTTATTTGGCAGTACAGAATGTTATTCTATGTGAGCTAAATGTGTATGCTTTAATTTGGAGCTGAACTGTTAGAAAGTCTGAGTTTGCTTTTGTCTTACCATTTTGATTGGATTTTATTTTATGTTGACTTAAATTAGAATCTTATAAACATCTTTTTTTAAATTTATTTATTTGGAAGGTGGAGTTACAGAGAAGAAGAGGGAGAGAGAGAGAGAGAGAGAGAGAGAGAGGTCTTCCATTCGCTGGTTCATTCCCCAAATGGCCACAATGGCCAGAGCTGTGCTGATCTGAAGCCAGAAGCCAGGAGCCAGGAGCTTCTTCCAGGTCTTTCGTGTGGGTACAGTGCCCAAAAGCTTGGGCCATCTTCCACTTCTTTCCCAGGCCATAGCAGAGAGATAGATTGGAAGTGGAGCAGCTGGGACTTGAAACGGCGCCTATATGGGATGCCAGCACTGCAGGCTGGGGCTTTAACCTACTGTACCACAGTGCTGTCCCCTACTTAGAATCTTACTTGAGGGTTGTGCCTAAGTTTCTCAAGAAAATTAGGAAGTATTCAGAAAGCTATAGTAATTTAACTTTGAAGATATTTTAAAGCTAGCGGGTCTTAATCATCTGGACAATATTTGTGTCCAGAAGTAACAATAAATAATTTTTATTATGAAAGTAATTTGTGACCTTGAGCATAATAAACTTCTTTCAAGTAAACTAACCATTAACAAATATATGACTTAATGAATGCTGAGTAGGACAGCTCTTCCTCTCTGAGTTTTTAGTCTGAAACTGAGTTCTTTTAAGATAAGATAAATCTCAAATGCAGGCTATAATTTCCTGGAAACCTTTGACTTACTTGTATTATTAAATTAGGGATGCTTTATCATTTCAGTAATAGGGGCACTACTTTTATCTTTTTTTAAAGATATCTTTTTTTTTAAAGATTTTATTTATTTATTTGAGAAGTAGAGTTACAGACAGAGGAAGAGGCAGAGAAAAGGTCTTCCATCCGCTGGTTCACTCCCCAATTGGCCGCAACGGCCCGAGCTGATCCTATCCAAAGCCAGGAGCCAGGAGCTTCCTCCAGGTCTCCCACGTGGGTGCTGGGGCCCATGCACGTGGGCCATCTTCCTCTGCTTTACCAGGCCATATCAGAGAGCTGGATGGGAAGAGGAGCAGCCAGGACTTGAGCCGGTGCCCATATGGGATTTTGGCTTAAGACACTACACCACAGCATTGGCCCCGCACTACTTTTATCTTATACTTCGCAATGTCCAGAATGTTTTCTCATGTATTCTCAAATCTGAATCTCCATTTAATTATGGAAATAGTCAGGGGAGTTACCATTTCCACTGTCACACCACAAAGTACAACAGAACCATGCCTTTGGAATTTATCCTCTGCAAAGACAGCACAGTGAGAAACAGCAGGACCATGAACTATATTTAGAATTCAGGCAAGAGTAGAAAAGCTTAGGAGTCTGCAGTAGGCAAGTGATAAGTGTTGGTGGATATATGCTTTCATTTCTTGTTGCTTTCTTAGATGAGGAAAGATTATTGATCTCATCAGAGAAGCAGGTGATAGATGATAATGCTCCTGGGAAAGCGGTACGTGATGTTCCAAGTGCTGGGGCGCCTGCCACCCTTGTAGGGTACCGAGGTGGGATTGCGGTGTTCCGGCTTTTGCCTGGCCCCATACAGTATGGTCATTTGGGGAGTAAACCAGCAGATGGAAGATCTCTCTCTGTCCCTCTCTCTTTGTAACTCTGCCTTTCAATTCTTTTGTTTTAAAAGAAGAAGAAGAAGAAGAAATTAAAATGGTCAACAAACTAAAATATATATATACATATACATATATATATATATGATCCTTCTAGCTGTCTTAGTCCTGTGCTCTGGAGGCTCCTGTAGCCAGAGGGAGACCTGCAGAGCTTGAGTTGTTTCTGCTTTGGCTCCCAAGTACATTTACGTCTCCCGTTACTCCTCTCCTGAAGGAATGCTGCTTGTTCACAGCGGCAGGTTGGCTGCGCCTCACTTGGCTAATCCTCCGCCTGCGACGCTGGCACCCCAGGTTCTAGTCCTGGTTGGGGCGCCGGATTCTGTCCCGGTTGCTCCTCTTCCAGTCCAGCTCTCTGCTGTGGCCCGGGAAGGCAGTGGAGGATGGCCCAAGTGCTTGGGCCCTGTACCCGCATGGGAGACCAGGAGGAAGCACCTGGCTCCTGGCTCCGGATCGGCGCAGCGCCAGCCATAGTGGCCATTTGGGGGCTGAACCAACGGAAGGAAGACCTTTCTCTCTGTCTCTCTCTCTCACTGTCTAACTCTGCCTGTCAATAAATAAATAAATAAATAAATAAATAGAATTTTTAAAAAAATATTTTACCTTTGGAGAATATTTTGGTATTGACAGTTATTCTCTCAGTAGGTGGAGGAAGAGAACATACTCTTAACTGCAGTCTAGTGTTGAACTTCATGACTTTGGAGTTCAGTCTTCACATCTTTGGATTAGCCTAGCCAGAAAATGTGACTTCTAAATTCTTTCTCACTTGTGAATTTCTTTGAATTTTGTACTGTTCTTGAATTTTGCACTATTTACCTTTCCTATCCTGCTGAACTCGTATTCTCTATTTAAGCTTTGTGTAGCGAAGTGCATAGTGCCAGAGTCGTGTTTCCTGTGTTTGTTGCTGCTTTCTATGCTTATTTCCTTGTAAAGTGTTTGTATACGTGTCTTCCCGCGGAGTCCTGTGGAAACAGGTAATCTTGCTAATGTCAGCAAAGGACTTGGTCAGAGTTAGAGTTGTATAGATTTGTGTTGGATAGTCAATTTACACACTTTTTAAAAAGTTTATTTATTTACTTATTTGAAAGGCTGAATGACAGGGAGGGACAAAGAGAGATCTTCTAACCACTGGTTCATTCTCCAGATATCTGCCACATCTGAGCCTGGGAACCAGGAACCCCATCTGGATCTCCCACAAGTGTTGCAGGGACTCAGCTGCTTGAATTGTCAGCTGTTCCCTCCCAGGCCTGTTAGCAGGAAGTTGGAGCAGAAGCAGAGGTGGGACTTGATCCTTGGCACTCGAATAGTGCCTGCCCCAATTGATGTACTTTCTGAAATCGATTTTTTTAAATACAAGTTTACAATTAGGTAACAAAATCTGTAATCCAGAAAATGTATTTACTTTATATCCATCTGACCAGAAATAATGGTAATTTATCTCTATTGATCCTAAAGATAAATGTTAAATATTTTAAATTTTTTCTAAAGTAATTTTTCAGTGTACCTTAAACTAGTTAGCTTCTAGATTATTTAGAGGTGTATATGTATGTAAATACACAGAGATTGAGTTTGACTTTTTTTTTTTAAAGATTTTTTTATTTTGCTTGAAAGTCAGAGTTACAGAGAGAGAGAGAAAAAATAAGAGGGAGAGAGGTCAGTCTTCCATCCGCTGGTTCACTTCCCACTTGGCCGCAATGGCCGGAGCTGCACCAATCTGAAGCCAGGAGCCAGTCTCTTCTTCCAGGTGCAGGGGCCCA